ACGTAATGCTTCGCAGAAGCCAAAGAGCAGGAAGAGGACTTGAGGCAGTTAGTGATGGCATGTTTATCATTCGTGGTGAGAAATGAAGGAATTGGATTTGTCATACACTCATCTGTTGTCCATTTTGTCGATTCGCATGAGATCCTATCACCTCGTCTACCTTTTCTTCGATTTTGTGCTCTGCATGAGAAAACCATTGCTATCATCAAATGCAATTCCCTAACATAGCTGATCTCAGAAGTGAAGACTTTTTAAGACTTTGGAAGAAGTCATCCGCTGATAAAATTCCTTCTACTTTGTCGTGGGCTTCAATGCGAAAATTGGGGGCCAGAAGAAGGGGAGCATAAAATCAGGAGATTTGGATTAGGGATCTGGATAAGAACGGTAACATTTTGTAGGGCTCTTATCCACCGCATGACTTTTTCTGGCAACTTCTCTTCATAAGGAAGGGCAGCGCTAGACAGAAAGTGGCGCAGCGGTACGACACCTACGGAGATCGCATTTTCACCAAGCGAAGGTAGTGCTTGCTGATCTGTGTGGTACCATCGTTCAGCAATGATTCGGATCACAGTTTTCCTTGAGCAAAAGTGCAATTCAACCGAAAGCTGGAAAAAAGATCTGTCACAGTGATGGAGGAAGAAGTGTATTTGACGGCACCACTTTGGGGGAACTTCCGAAAACTACCGGCTCATCGAGGAGGATCAGCAAAGGACTGCGACCTGCTTTCTAGAGGGCTGAGAGCTTGTGGTACATGCAACTCAATACCCTAAACAAGGAACTTGGAACGCATTTTGAAAGCCACCAGATCTGCTTGAGAAAACGAGGACAATGGGCTGGATATGGCTGCATCATATCTAATCAATACTAATTGCAGCATAGCTTTGCAAGAAGATCTTCGGAAGTACAGGCAATCGAAACTTTTGCAAGCAGCACAAGAAAGGAGAAGTCTAAAAAAGTACCGCCAGAGCCTTCTTGACTACACTACTAAATGACCAGTCTCTTCTGCTCATCAACATCCAAGTCAAATCCCTCTAGCCCCAGTGGAGAATACCTGGATTCTACATGCTGAGTACGCACCCTTCAAACCACGAAGATCACGAGAGAAAGGGCCCTGGCTTCATCAGACGTTTTGGCAGAGTTGTAGAATCTGGGAGATACCTAGGATGCTTGCGGTGCACCGAACCTTTGTAAGAAGGGCAATAACGAGGAACTTTGGAACACCATTCATGCCTGCTGAGCATGCTTTGAAACTCTTCACGGTATTCTCACTCGCATATCAAGGGCACATGAAGCACAATCTGTAGAACACGCTGGAT